CTACCCAGGACCGTGTTTGACCAACTGCGGGCGAAGAAAGCATTCACGTTGCCACTCACGTACGAGTACGTGAAATTTGACGTAACCCTGCAACCAGAGTAGCTGGTGTGCTGAAACTTTCTGAGCGCTATCCAGGACCATGTTTGAGCAACTGTGGGCGAAGAAAGCATTCACGTTGTCACTCACGTACGAGCACGTGAAATTTGACGTAACTCCGCAACCAGAGCAGCTGGAGTGCTGAAACTTTCTGAGCGCCACTCAGGACCGTGTTTGACCAACCGCAGGCGAAGAAAGCACTCACTTTGCCACTCACGTACGAACACGTGAAATTTGACGTAACTCTGCAACCAGAACAGATGGGATGCTGAAACTTTCTGAGCGCCACCCAGGACCGTGTTTGACCAACCGCGGGCGAAGAAAGCACTCACGTTGCCACTCACGTACGAACGCGTGAAATTTGATGTAACCCTGCAACCAGAGTAGCTGGGGTGCTGAAACTTTCTGAGCGCTACCCAGGACCATGTTTGAGCAACTGTGGGCAAAGAAAGCATTCACGCTGCCACTCACGTACGAGCACGTGAAATTTGACGTAACTCTGCAACCAGAGCAGATGGGATGCTGAAACTTTCTGAGCGCCACCCAGGACCGTGTTTGACCAACCGCGGGTGAAGAAGGCACTCACGTTGCCCCTCACGTACGAACACGTGAAGTTTGACGTAAATGTGCAACCGAAGCATCTAGAGCACTGGATCTTCTGGGCATGGATTGGGGGTCATTGTAATAATTTTTAACAGCTGTACTGGCCAGTCCCAATTCTTTTAGCTAGAAGCATCTGCCAGGAAGAACGTGCCGCTGGCGAAAAAAACCTGCGGGGGGAACTGCGCAAAAAACGCATTCTCGTACCGGCAGCCGGTACGCTTTCTACTAGGTTTATACTATTTTTTATAACAGCAAGAAACGAATTTCTTTAAAGTTGTTTATATTCCTTTTAATTTGGGGTACGCAGGGCGGATTGTTTCTAAGAACTTGAATTTAATCGATGATGGCTGAAACGTACAACGAAAAAGAAATTCACATGCGTAGAAGGGATGGTTTGGAAGACATAAATGTTAAATTATTTTGAGGATTATATAATTTCCGGGGAAACTGATGCATGAACAGTAACACAGATCTCACAACAGAGATATAATCCTGATACATTAATTGTTAATAAATTTTTAACATCAAATTAGCAGCAAAAATTAATCAAAGAATGAAAGAATTCAATGCAGACCTTATACAAAAGACATTCTGTGATTAAAAATGAGATTTTAGTATTAAGATTTAGCACAAACAAAAAGAGTACGGGGTCTCGACACGCTGCTATTTACTTGATTTTTGATAAAAAAGTAGTTAAATACTGAAAATTAATTAAATTAAAGTTTTTAATTAAAATTTAAAGAATTTTAGTACTTAAATACTTTAATGCAAAGTCTTTACATATTGGGCATGGAACATTAATTTATAGATGTACCTAAATACTGAAAAGCGACCAAATTAAGATTATCAATCAAAATTTAAAGAACTTTAATACTTGAACAATTTGATGCAAAGTCTCTATATGCGATCGAGTTTAAATTTATAAAGACGTATTTTAGCCAGTTTAAGTTTTAATTTCGCAGAAACTAAATAGTAAAAACCGCTCATGCATGTTCTTAGAAGCCAAAAACGCTCATTTAGAAGCCAAAAACTTAATTCATAACTTTGAAAAAAAAGATTCGATTAATTTAAAGTTCAAAAATATTAGCTGATATATTTATCCATTATAAAGAATATATAGAAATGCCGGGTGTTTTAGTTGGCAAAGTTATCAGTACGTATTTACGTGTTTGAATTACAACAGAAGAAACAAGCTAAGTAAAGGAAAAGGAAAAGTTATGAAATCTGATTAAGTATTTGAGTAATGATTTTATGAAATTTGATTAAGTATTTAAGTAATGATTAAATGCACAGCTATAGCTAGCTCGGCAAGAAAAAAAAACGGAAAGCTCAACAGAGAAAACAGAAAAATTGACCTGTTTCAGGCGACTCATAACAGTGTGAATCAGTTGCCAATGTCCTAAAATTCGTGAAATTCGGCGGTCAACTTCTCGAACTTGAGAACTGTACAGCTTAAAAAAAAACCTGGAATTATTAATACGAAAATCTCAAATAGTTATGCGCACAAGGATTTACTGGGGATGACGTACAGACTGCACAGACCCACAAGCAATTTCGCACAGACCCGTTAATGTTTACACACACACACACACACACACACACACACGCACGCACACACATACCTGCCAGTAAATATTGATAACGCACAGAACAGCTAGTGATCATGTACAGATTAGTTTACCAGTCAAACACAGACCTTTAACGAACACGTACAGACCAGAAAACAATCTTGCACAGACCCATTTTTGTTGATATACCCATAGGTGATTATGCACAGATTCCTAAATAACCACACAGACCCATTTGATCATGCAGAGGTCTGCAGATAATCATGCACGGACTCGTAAGTGATTACGGGCAAACCCGTCGAGGATGACGTACAAACCCGTGAGTGGACATGTACAGACCCGTGGGTGATTACGTAGAGACCCGTGCGTAATCACGCACAGACCCGTGAGGATCACGTACAAACCCCTGAGTGATCACGCATAGACTCCCAGATAATTATTCATGAGGGTTTTTTACGTTCCGCCTCTTTCCCCACCTCGCTTCCGGAGCCTCCAGAGCCCTCAAAGGATCGCATATCTTCCCCCATCTTCGTTCTTCGAGAAATAAAAGCCAGAGTTGACCCCCCCCCCTCCTCCTTGCGAGCCTTTTACGGCAAGCCAAAGTACCACGCCCTCACTCTTTCGCCGCTCTCAAGTTCGGTATCATGGTGCCAGAAATAGTGATATGCGAAAAATTTGCGAAAGAGGATGTGTAATCGCAAACTTTTTCAACCACACGGCGCATTCTCCCTCGTAAACCCTATCACTCTCTGCTCTCTCTCCAAAAATTACACTCTCTCGCGATTTTCATTACTGTCCCAGGATTACGTGTCGTAACCACGTGAAACAACGTAAACTCCCTACTATTCAATTACAATGAACCGAAAAAATCTTGAATCATCCTCGTCAAATTAACAGCCCCACCTATCCAGGGTCCCTTTGCAGGGTACCTGAGATCACTACCAGCCACCTCCCCCTCCCCCAAGCCTCCCCCGGGGTTTCCCGGCTGATCCGAGGTACCAGAAGCGTTCAATCAAATTAAAAATTTTAAAATTCGCGGCGAACTCGCCGTGCAACTAGTCTGTCTCAGAGGAACTCTTCCCTCCTCCTGCCTTTTTCCCTCAAAACGCGCGGCTCCATAGCGAGGAGGGGCGTCTTTCCTTTCACTGGTTACTCTGTCTGTGAAGAGAAGTTGCCAGCTGCATGAATCAATAGCTCTTACAGCCACTCCAAGTACGATTAAAATCGGAATTTTAATTCGAATTAAAATTCAATTCTGTGAGTTACTCTTCAAGCTTTTATGATATACTGATGAGGCTTCGTCACTGACTTACTGACCCTCTTCATGGGCGGACTGGGGTGAGGGCGATAGGCCTTTCCCCCCTCCCAGTCCCCCAACGGGGCAGGCAGCAGTGCTAAAACTGAAGAAAACTCTCTTCACATCTCCTGTCGCCCCCCTGCCCCCGTCTCCTCCCTCCCCGTCTCACAGGAGATGGCTCTGGATCCGCCTCTGCCTCTCTTAGACATTAATGAGTTACCCTAATACAGAACTTCGAGGGTTCGATTCCCTCAAACAATTCCTCCTTTACTCATTTTAACGGTAAATTGGTACTGGCATGTGCCAGGAAATCAAACCGGCCATCAACTTGCTTCTAGTCAATCAATCCTCGAAAGAGGGAGCCATCGATAATTTTTCGAAAAAGGACGATAGCTCTGAAATCTTGGTACCAATCGAGGTATTTCAAATGCCTCCGCTTCTCATTGAGAGTGAATACTGAAGAGAATTTGACTTTTTATACTCAGTCGTATACATAGTGTATTAAGCCCTAGATGAAGTTATGCAAATGTTTTAAAAATTTTATCCTTTCTATGCTTGGGCTTAGTTAATTATTAATTAATATAGTTTATTGGCTTTTTCGTGATTTCACCACCCAAATATATACAAAAAATACGAAATTTCTCCATTTCCAGTTTGAGCACGATATCAGTCTGGTAAGGTTGTCGTCACTGTGGAGTATTCTAACATCTGATTGTCCCGATCACAGAAAAAAAACCCCGTACTTTTTTGGAAAAATACCCAAAAAATGCTTTGCAATCTGGCGAAATTCCTCCGCGAAAACCCTCGACACATCGTAGTTACACTTCTGGAACTCAGTGGAGGTACTTGTGGGGCAAAAAACGCGTGCTGTACACTTGTACTTTTTTCCCAGAAAAAATCCCTTCCGGGCAAAAAGTGCTGTGTCCGCCGCAGGATTCGAACCTGCGCCTACCGAAGTAGAATGCGACCTGAACGCATCGCCTTAGACCGCTCGGCCAGACGGACCTTGCGATGACTCGGATCTCAGCTCTTCACATAGAGCTAACAAATTCCTTGCAATCAGCAGTGGTAAAAAATTCGTTCAGAATGAAGGGATTTTTCTTTCGCTAATCTCCCGGCGAACATCCCGTTTAATCCCGGATATCCCGAGATAGTCCAAGATATCCCGATATTGCTTTCGCCCCGAATCCCTCTAGTTCAGGCAATCCAGGATAGGGATAGTGGGGATAACCACTGGATCCTATCGGATTTTGATATAATTTTCTCGAAATTTGTTAAAATCAGTTATGATTTCTACTTTTGTTCAGTATGCCACATCCTATGCCGAGCCGCCTTTGCTTATTTTGCTTATCCTGTCATCCCAGTCTCTCGTCTCTGCTGCTGGAAAAAACCCAGACTGCCACGCAACAAGCTACCAGTGCGATTACATGTTTTTGCACTGAACTTGCAGCAATCAAATCGTTAACAACAGAAATGGTTCGTGCGTTGTTGTTTAACACACGGACTCATGCTGGCAATGTTGCATCATAGCCTGTGTGATTATCAATTTTTTGCATAAAGCTCGGTCGTTTTTCGGGTGAGTGGTCGTTCATCGAAAAATGCAACATATCAAGCGAAGTGTTTGAGAATTTGCTTGCAGGAAAAGGAACAAGTCAACTTGCAGTCTTTGTTTCATCCCTTGACTGTGAGCACAGACAAAGCAATGGATTCGAGCAGGAGTGGAAGTCGTCAATACGGCCTCCTAAAAGCCATCTAAAAAAAGTAAATTTAAATGAGCAAAACCAAAATACAGAGTATTAGAGAGCAAGACCAAAATTGAAGAACTATAAGAACAGAAGAAGGGGAAGAAGATAGGACTTAATTGACAAAAGGTTTTTAATGTACAAAAAAGGGAAAGTATTTGTTGCCAAACAAATAAATATACGCATCAGACTCAGATGCGGACTTTTTTTATTTTCGCGATCATCCTAAAAAAATTGAACAAATGATGGGCAGTCCAATTGTCCCGCTTGCGGACTTACGTCAAATTTCACGTGCTCATATATATGACCACAATGACGTGGGCATTCATTTATGCCTATGGCCCGACGTACATAGGTGTAATTAATTTTTATGCTTTTTTTTGCGGAACTTTCGCAAAGAAGAGTACAAATTGTCGAAAGAATATATTATATTTACAACATTTTTATTATATATAATATACTCACATTGTATTTTCAGCTATATATGTGAAAAAATGGCTGAAAATGCTTTAGACTCATGCGCTACCCTCTAAACATAAAATCGACTTTTTCATCGCTCCTCATGGTCGTATAAAAATGATTGCTATTTAGCATAAATGCCACTTGGGGCTTTTTTTAAAAAAGAAATTCTTGTACGCAGCACTTCAGGGAACCGGCATTAATTGTAAGTGAAAAATTTATGCTAATATGAGTAAAATCCAGCTGAACTTTGAGCGTATTTTTACCGCACATACGATTGTTCAGAGATCAATGTTCTAGTGTCTTAAGGAGAGAGTACTGTCTGCATCACTGCTCACAGTTAGTCGAGAATCCACTTAGTGTCGCATTCTCGACTAGATTGAGCCTCGGTGACAGCCGTCCCAACCCAGACTAACACGGCGATGTGACGGGCAGTCTATCGCCAGATCCTGTTGTCCCAACTATGAGCTGCTCGGGGTTGGCAGCTGGGACTATTCTGTAATTTTTGTAA